CTCGTACGTCGTGTGTGTGTGTGTGTGTGTGTGTGTGTGTGTGTGTGTGTGTGTGTGTGTGTGTGTGTGTGTGTGTGTGTGTGTGTGTGTGTGTGTGTGTGTGTGTGTGTCGCGCGTATACTACGTACATGCATGTATACGCAGTAGGTTTGTGTGTGTGCTGTAAGAGACGCACTTGGTGCGTTCACGCACGCACACAGGCGCGCCTCCGGAATGCCCATTTTTATGAAACGATCGAACTTCTTTCCCGCGCGATCTCGCCCGGCGCGAAATGTCGATAGCGCGCGCCAATGTTTGCGATCTTTGAAACCCCCCTCGCGCGATTCGCGGCTCCTCCGTTTCGCCAGCGACTCGTCGCGTATCTTGTGAATTTTGCGAAAATCTTTTTAAACTAGTACAACCAGTTCAGCCAAAGAGAATAGGCCTATAATCAAACCGAGGCTATCAAATGGAGGGACAACTACGTGCCTGCGCATTGGAGCAAAATAGTCAGTGACGTATGGTACATACAAATAACACATTCAAAGATATGTTATTAGGTCCATCGTAGTTTATAAATAATATTTACATTCTATTTATAAAATTTATATTACTTTATTTATATATAATATATATAGTACTTGTGATAGTTTTATATTATATATTATGAAGTTTATAAAGATAATAACATACTATATTATTTTAACAAAAATATAAGTTGAAAGCTATTTCTGATATATGTATATAAAGATAATCATGTTCGAATATAAAATTTATTGTTCTTTGTAATATTTAATATATAATAAATTAACGTAATATATAAATTCTGAGAAGCATCTAAACATCTTGTATTTCTGAATGTGAAGCTATCGAATCACATAATTCATGAAATCCTCATACGTATGTACAGAAATGCTACCGGAAGTTTATCCCCCCATCTGGCAGGTCTAGCACCTGACATCACTGGTTTCTGTTAGTTCTCATGTTCTAACCTAAAAAACATGTTGTGAAACTGCCCAGATAAACACATTGAATATAAATTGTCAGATTATCAATTTTTAATTATTTATCCAATTCGGAGCAGTAAATAATAGATTTAAAAATGAGTAAGTTAATATCACTTAAATATTTTAAACATATATCTATATGTATAAATATGTTCTAAACATTTATACACGTGTGTTTATAGAGAACAAAAATAAGTTTTGCCAGCATAAAGACGTATTTGAACGAATGAATTACTTATATCAGGTAATTACGAAACTTTACATTCTTCAGTAATGTCTATTATTTCAACATCTATTAATTTTAACTTCGGTTTAATTTACTTTTTATTTTTTTCTAATTTTTAAAACTGAAAAAAAATAAGTGAATTATACCGGGATTAAAGTTAATTTACATTGGTGAAAACGAATAAGCGATTTTTATTTATCTACTATAATAATTTTTTATCTAGTAATGTAATCTGTAGATATATAACGTTATCGTAGCAATTACATTATTAGTTCGCTTATCAAATAAGCGATTTATTTATCTACTATAATAATTTTTATCTAGTAATGTAATGTATAAATATATAACACTATTGCTATGTTATTGTAGGCTAGTTATCTCATGGCAACATCGAATCGAGTTGCAGCATCTTATTTCGGTAATAATATGGTGGCTTGTGCCAAGAAGGCGGTGTTACGTATGTAAGTTTTTAAATAATTTTGCAATTTTTTTTTAAAATTTAGGAAAGAAAATTGTTCATGGAATTTGTATTAATGATTTGTTACTTTAGGGAACCAGATTTAAAGAGAAGCATATGTAAATGGTGTCAGAGTCCGCTTATACCTGGAGAATCAGCCAGAGTTAGATTGCTATCGAATCCTTTAAAAGGTCTCAGATGGACATGTTTAACTTGTATGAATATTAGGAAATTTGTTATGAGAAAAGGATATAAATTATGGCTTGAGCAACCAGAATCAATAATTGAGACTTTAGATTTTACAGCCAAATCAAAAATAAAAACACACAGAAATGTAGCTCTGCAGAAGTACTTTCCAAGAAGAAAGAACCAAATGAAACTCGTCCTAAAAATTCTACAGATTTTTTGTAAGTTTCTAGATAATTTATTTTCTTGAGAAATTAAAAAAAGTTTATGTGAAAAAAAGATTTTTGATTTATATGATTTATGTTAATGATTCACATTACCTTAGGAAACCGGATTTAAAAGAAAACATATGTGAAGGATGTCAGAGACCTCTTATACCCAGTGAATCAATCAAATCACTGCCAAATTTAAAAGGTGTTAGATATACATGTCCAACTTGTATGGATATTAAGAAATTTCTTACGCAAATAGAATATAAATTATGGCTTAATCAACCAGAATCATCAGCTGATAGAACTTCAGATTTTACGGCAAACTCAAAAGACGAAATCATACAGAAATTTGACTCTACAGATGTTCCCAAGAAGGAAGAACAAAATGAAATTTGTCCTGAAACTCCTACAGATCACCTTAAAAATGTCAGTCAAAATAATATGAAGCAAATTCAACATACAGATTAGTCTAAGATCTGGTGTACGAATATTTTTATTAATGACTTACATAAAATATGTTACAATATTACAATAAATTTGTAATTAATAAAACAGATATTTTTGCTAACTGGAATATTCATAACCATCTAGTAATATCATGATACCGATAATAGTTTTACATTAAATATTCTTAGAAATAACTCGATCGTAAGTTTAAGTTACTGCTGTTATCGAGTAGTTGTCGTATACGTTTTTTTTTTTTTTTTTTTACGGTAAAGTGGCATCCGCAGGGAATTCCCGAAGGTCACGATCTTCTATGTTCTCAGCCGAGGACGGTTTGTGTGGTCGATATTAAAAGTGTAAAGTCGACACGATTTCTCGAAGGCAAGATCGTTTCGCCGCAATGACACTGGAATTCGCTGCGAGTGTCATTACTTCATCTAACTATGATATGACTATGTCCGCCCATCGCCAGCAACTCGTGCAAAATCATTACGATTTAAATCATTGCACTCATACTCGGGCGCAATCAAATCACAGTTTAATCGGAAAGAAGAAAAATATCAGTCATCAGTTAAAGTAATGCTATCTTAAATAAATACACTAGTAACATAATACACAATGTACTAACTTGAAAATTATATCGCGCTACTATCTTGATTACGTCCCGTTGTGCGTGCAGCAACAATGGCGCGATTATTTATTCACGAGATGATAACCGCATCACATTGATACCAGAAACGTGGCAGTGATCGTTGTAAATGGCGCGGTGAAATTCGAAAGCGCGTACGTATTTCGGATTAAATACTATATTAAATTAACGAGAAAAGTAATACAAAGTAATACAAAAACTGGGCTGGACGGAATCTACACATTCACTTATATACATATATCTGTCGTGCCAAGCTTCGGTCGTGTCGAGTTATCTCACAGTGTCTATTTTACTTAGCTTATAGTCTTCTCGCTTTTTTCTTTTGCGTTTTCTTTTTTGATTCTTCTAAAAAGTAGCTCTAACGATAAGGTCAGACGGGACCCCAGGTTGGCAACGCACACATATATACATGCACACACCAGCTACGGGGATTAATTACTCCAGTAATATTGACTGTGTCGTTCGTCGTCACTCTTCATCATGAGTCCTTTCGCAAGCTCTCGCGGAAGAGTTTGAACTGAGAAAATGGCAAAAATCACGCAAGTAAAAAAGGGCGAATCTCGCGAATGTCGTGTGTCATGTCGTATTATGTGAATGTCGTGTTGCTCTTCTCGTACACGCGTCTACTCGCAGGACAAACCCGACCAATATTTAATTCGGTTATTGTCAAAGAGGTGTGTGCATGCGAGTCGCCCGAAGTACGCTCCGAAGAGGCGCGTGCGATGAAAAAGAGCCGCGGACAAAGAGGTACAACGTACGGCGACGGAGCTTATTTAGAGATAGAAAGGGAGGAAGGGAGGAGAGAACGGGCCGAGCGTGCCCGTATATCTCAGAGCCGATTTATATTAGCCCCGAAACGAACTGGGGTTGACCGTCACGGTCGACTGTCAGCTGCGGCATCACATTCGGGGAAGGTTGGAATGTTGAGCCTTGAAAACCCATTGCCGATTCGTATAACTGAAATAAAATGAAAAAGAACAATATTTAAGTCTTATTCTTATCTTATATTATTTTAAATCATATTTAATTATCTTTGTTATTTTGAAAATTATATTTTAAATTATATTGTGTACATCCACTAAGTATGATTGATTTTTTTTATGTACATTAATTCTTGGAACAAAAAAGACATTATGTAGTAATTCTCAGAACATTTATGTTAAAACTAAAACTATGATCTAAGAAAGAGAATTGTTAAAAGTTAGTTAAGTTTGTCGGTGCAATGAGGTCTCACAGTCTACAATATTACTTATCAGTCTTATTTATACATTGTGATTTCCTGGAAGCGTTGTGTAATCCGGCGTGGTCGGACGATGCCTGTTCGCAGGCAATGGATGCTGGATGGTAGCATAAGTATTATCTTGAGACGTGTCACCCATGCCGACACTTACACCACTGCCACGTCTCTCGCCGCCGAGACCGCCCTCGGGCTCGCTAAACACTTGCATCGTTAATTCTTGCTCCTCGTAGAGCTTCAATTTTCTGCAATCAAGAAAAATGCTTTGTCATGTATGATATATAAAAAATTGTGTATGTGTGCGCGGGAAATGAAACTCACTGCTCGATCCACAGTGGGTTCTCCGTCGTGTTTAATTCATCGATGATCTGTTTCTTAATTAGGCCATCCTTCTTACGTATATCATTTGGCACAGTTATTACCCTGAAACATCATTGACATCATAGAAATGTCACATTTATAAGCGAGAGCACATCTGGAGTCTTTGTATTCTTACCAATGGCGTAAACAGCAACAAACTACCGTTACCGTGACCGCGCCTACGAGTAAGACAACTAAGAGAGCTATTAAAGCAGCGAGTGCAGGATCAAACGGTTCCTCTTGAACTCCAGCGTATGCAGGCTGAAATGATCACGAATTACATGCATTTATCAATATGCTTCAATGATTTTATATAGCAATATCATCGATTCTTTCTTATAGTAATAAGGAGGCTTATTTCGTGCAATTACAAAATAATTATATTTCGAATTAAATCATATGATTAAATCATAAATATCTCGATACTCACTACGACATTTTCTATGGCAAATCCAGCATAATAATGCTTCAAGAAATCGTATTTTGCATCAATAACCTTGAGCACATGAGGAATCGGCGCGATGGTTTGAGTTTTCGGTTCAACGACGTGCAAATACATGTCACACCTAGAAAAAATTTTTATATAGATTGTACAAGATATACACAGAAAGAGATATACGAGAAAAAATAGAAACAAAAATTATCTATATGGAATTACCATTCTCTGCGGATGTGTCCAGAAGCGTCAACGTGATATCTGATATCATCCACTACGACTCTGCTTTGCGTGGCGTTGGATAATTCCGAAACAATCTCGTCTCGTTCACTGTTAACTTCCTCCGGAGGCCGGGATAATATGACTCGTATTAGTTGAGATGGTTCAAACACCCATACCTTGATGAAAAAAATAAAAATTAATGTAATATTTAAACAATTTGTCTATTGGACAGAAATAATTTGTCTATTGAGCAGAAAAACCTATAAACTTGATATAATGTTATTAAATTGAGATATTTACTAGAAACATATTATATAAAATTGATAGTAATTGCATTAAATTATTATGGTAACTATAAGAAACTTACATGGACTTTGGTCATCGCGTATCTTTCCGGAATAGCCGTTTCTTTGGCGATGACTTCAACAATAAATCTATCTTGATTGTATTCCGCCATGTATCCGCTCGTAACGAGTTTTCCGTCTTGCGTAACATTAAACGGGCTCGGCACTATTGAGCCACTCGGTTTTTCCGAACCGTATTTGTAAAGATTCGCGCTGGCGACGTAATAATGAAGAGTGCCGTTATCACCGACGTCCAAGTCGGACGCAGTTACTTTGGTCACAAAATCGTTTATGTTCGCCATGGAATTCACGCCGGCATAATAATCGTTGCGTTCAAAGATTGGTGGATTATCATTTTCATCCAGCACGGTTATCGTCACGTTCACGTGCCCATGTTCCGGATTGTGAGTTAACGGTCGACCAGATTGCGCGGGACTGATGTAGAGATCAGGATCGTTGGATGCGAGAATAGAGAGAATATATTTATCTCTTGTCTCGCGATCAAATGATTTATTTGCATAAATACTGCCATCAGATTTATCCATGTAGAAGGCATATCCTTCATTTCCTAAGAGAGCAAATAATATATTTGTAAGAATAACACTTAAATCTTTACAGTTTGTTAATAATTATATTAAAATATATTATAAAGAGACAACTAATCTTACTATCGAACGTTTATCGAAAATTAGCTTTATTCATAAAAAAATTATAAGAGGAAAGACATGCTTCAAACATCTCCAGGATATATTATATATACATTTATTACCTGCTTCTATGTAATAGTAAACCTTAGCGTGTCTGCCTTCATCTTTATCCTCTGCTGTAACTTTACCAATGAGATAATCTTTTGGTCGATTTTCGGACACATGGAAATTATATTCCTCATAAAATTGTGGTACGTTATCATTTGTATCAACTAATTGGACTGTTAATAAACGCAATGTTTCATACGCAGTAGGACTACCATGATCGGCTGCCACAAGAACAAGCTGAAAAAATATGTACATAGAATCCCAATTGTTTCATAATAAAGAATATTTTAATATATTACTCACTTCAAATTTACTCTTGATCTCACGATCAAGGATAATTTTCGATCGAAGTTCGCCGGTTTCTTGATCTATAGAAAATTCTTCGGTTTCTTGAACGTTCCTATTGCTGACTTTTAAGTGATAACTGACACGACCATTCTCGCCAGGATCTCTGTCGATCGCTTTTACAGTTAGTATTAAATAATTCGGCACACCTGCATTCTGAAAAGTGACAGTCAATTAATATATTATATTAATATTTCATTATAATTATTTATATATTTTAGTTATAATAAAACTGGAATTTATAAGCTCTCTTTTTATTCTCAAACGGGAAACAATCTTTTTTTTCATGTGTACCTCTGGAACTTCCACAGTTGCGTTCGTCAATTCCGGCATCACGAATTGCGGTTTATGCTGATTCACAGGTGTAACTCTTATGTCGACATAACATCTGTCTGAATGTGGACCGTTTCCGGCACCGTCACGTGCTTCAACCTCGATTCTGTAAGAACCGGCTCTGCCGAGGAGCGCAGCCGCGGGATAAAGAATGCCGGTTTCGCGGTTTAACGAAAATGATTCATTTTCGTTCCCATTGATGATTGTGTACCAGACTTCGCCGTTTGTCCCGTCATCTTGATCTACCGCTCGTACCTTAAA